ATCAATTCCCACTACTCTACGACTTCATTAAACATAAAATCTGGTACATTATTGTCCACCAGCAGCAAATCAAGGGCCTATTTAATAAGTGGGATTTGAAAACCCACCCTAACATGACTGCTGAAACTCAACAATCTAAAATGCGCCTTTTGATGACTGAAATAGCAGAATTTCAATTTACTGACAAACAACTAAAAGACATTCGATATGAAAATAGAATAACTCACCTACAACAAGATTCCACATCAATAATCCAATCCGATGGGCAATGAGAGGAAGAAGCCGATAATCTATTTAAAGAATTATTTACAAGTCGTTAGCTCAAAAAAATTTTATAATATTCAAAAAAAATATAACGATAAATGTATCATTATCGCTATCAGATTAGAATTTTTTTCATTACATACAGATCTTATATTCTATTAGCCAAATAATAAAGCTGGGGTCTACTCGAGATCTACATGAGTGCATAAATATCAAATAATACAAAAAAAATCTGTACTATTGATTTTTACTATCATACCTTGCATAGTTTTGATTAATTAGTGCGTGAAATACCCCAATGTTATACGTAAGAATTAATGTTATAAACGTATTGTAAGGGAACTGTTGAACCACGTTTCACAATGCACTTGTCACACAACGAACGTACTGGAAGTTCATGCAACGATCGTATCGGAGATCCATAAAACAAATGTACATCACGTGAACGTGATGTAAGGTCAGAATCGCGTTAGTATTAGTCATTAGAAAGCGTAATGAGTGGTTATGTCGGAGGTGCTGTAGCCAAATTTGGTAGATTAGCTCAAAGTAATTGTATCCGAATTCCTTGTGGATTGCATGTATTACACTTAATTTTAAATAATTTTGAAGAAATAGCCTTTGGTAAACTTCCTACAGGCACTGGATTTTCCAAGACACGTTATCTATTTAATCTTTTTTATTTGGCTTGGATGTTGCATGATGGATATGACCAAAGCGATAAAGATTCACTATTAAATATGAGAAGTGAAACGATACGTAGTCTATATTAAGTACAGCTTAATTATCAACTGACTAAATATCAACATCCTCTATGATCAAGATGGCAATATGAGTTAATTACAGCTGAACAATATCTTAAAAGACGTGAAATCTATATAGAATTCATTGCGTGGTTTCTTCTAAGACTAAAAACTCTAAAAAAAGCTCCACACTCTTACGTTGAAAAATGGGAATTATTTGAGAATTGGCTAAATGATTCTGAACTAAATATTGAAATACAATGTTTAGTTAAATTTGGCCAAGAATTTTACTGAACATATGATGAATTTCTTGTTAGCTATGATCTTCAACTACGAGTTGTTCAATCTAATAATTTATTATATTGTTTGCCATCTGGTCGTCGAGCTCATCAAATGCCAGATTTTGTTATTAACTCAACACATAAGCTCGCAAATATTATAGAAAACCTTTATCTATTTTTTGGTAGAGAATTTCTGCAAAGTACAGAAGTTATGGATAATTCAAAAATTGAATTATTAGTTCAAAAATTAGAACGAGGATTACAAAAAGGACTCGAATTACATCAGAAATGGTTAGATTGTTGGTGTTATCTTCCCTTAAGTATATGTTGTCTTAGTGGAGATAATGCCAAGCAATTTGCACGTAGCTACTGGCATATTGTTATTGAAAAACCTTGGCCAGAAGTTCCTAGTTCAACAGAGCTTTGTTATACAAAGTTTCTTGAAATAGACATTATGGAAGAAAATTTTAATGATTTTGGTTTTAAAGATGCATTAACTAATGAATCATTCTTTCAAGAATTTAGCTTATTTGTTAATGATTCAATGGTTCTACTGCACCAATGTCCACAGCTTTATGACTTTGTCAAAAACAAGATTTGGTATATTATTATTCATCAGCAACAAATTGAGAGCTTATTTAACAAGTAGGATTTGAAAACTCACCCCAACATGATTGCTGAGACTCAACAATCCAAAATGCGCCTTTCAACGACTAAAATAAAAGAAATTCAATTTACTGACGAACAACTAAAAGAAATTCGAAACGAAAATAGAATGGCTTACAAACAAAAAGAATCCACTCCATTAGTTCTTCAATCAGATCTACAGCAAGAACAAAATGCAAATAATCTTTTTAAAGAATTATTTACTCGTTAATAAAGTTTTTTAATTAATAAAATATTTAACGGTTATACACATGATCGATAATTTTTTTCATCATAGATCTTGAATTTTATTGGCTAAATAAATTGCCAGGGTATAGTTAGGATCTATATAGGTACAGAATTGTCAAATAATACAGTAATACGTAAAAAAATTTGCACTAGTAAATTTCATTATGATAGCTCATATAGGTTTGATTATTTAGTATATGAAATACCCCAGTATAATATCAATTGAAATTAATTGATTCTCTAGATAATATCAATAATACATATCAGTTATAAATACGCATGTAAGAAGACTTAATCAGATTATATTTTATTTAACTTTTTTAATACGTATACATACCTCAACAAAACTTGTAATTTAAATAACAAAAATAAAATAAAAATGCCAAAACAAAAAAAATGCACAAGACATTCCCAAAAAGTTATTACCACATATTGGAAAAATAAATCTTCCTCGCAACATGTTAAATCGACTAATACTGCTTCTTACAAATATTATAAACCTATAGCACTTGATCCCATCAACCAAAATCGACCTACAGTTGATTGTTTATCCAATAAAACTCTCGACAGTAGTGCTAGTAGTGATTATTCTATATTATCATCACTAGATGCATAATTGAAGAAAGAAACCGTTAATTTACGTCTTAATACAACAAGACAATTTCTTCATCTTGTCCAGGATCAGGGGTATACAAAAATGGAGACAAGTAACCTTTTGGCTAAGAGTTTAGGTAAAGGCTCATGGCATGCATGGTGTATTCGTACCTGGGCAAATCAATGGAAGAATTGCAAAGAATTAATAAAGTCAAAATGTGGCTGACATATAAAAACAAAATCTTTAATACATAAGATTTTAAATAAAACAGTATTTGGAGAAGATAAATTTAAATTAGCCATTCCAAATCTTATAGGCTATGTTAGTAGTATTATGCCTACTTTTGAGATTACAAGTAAAACAACTATTAGTAGGTCAACTGCATGCAGATGGCTAAAATTACTTAAATAGAAATACCAAACCCATTCAAAAAAAAATTATTTTGATGGTCACGAACGTGAAGATGTAGTAGAATATAGAAATTATTTTCTACAAGAGATGGCTAAGTTACGAACTGAATGACCACATATGAAGATGAAAATTTAAACCATATTATCTTACCAAAACTTTCTCCTGATGAGAGTGAAATAGTCCTCGTTACCCAAGATGAGACCACTTTTTATTCAAATGATGGCGTGAACAAATATTGGGGCCCAGTGGATGAATCTAGCCTACGGAAAAAATCACTAGTAAGAATCGGAATTAGTTAATATTCTTTATAGAGATGAGCAAGGTAATTTACTTATTACGTAAAAGTTCAATCACATTATGCAACAATTTACTACGGTGCAAATCATCTAAAGGCATCCAAACTATTTCGGCATTGTTTTGACACTTACGGCCATTTTCGGTCAGGCTTTTGTCAAAACCCAAATGCAATCCCAAATCCCAAATTCCAAATGCTATGATCGCTGATTAAAATAAATAATTATTTTAATAAATAATGATGCTTTTAAAAATATAATAACGCTTCTAATTAATATGACGATACTTTTAATAAATGCAATGTCGCTTTTTAATTAATATAACGATTCTTTTAATAACGTTCTTAAAAAATATAATGATGTATTTTGATTATTTATTAATTCTTTTTTATTATAAATTCGTTTTTTGTTAAGCTTAGCAGAAAACGAACTCAGTTTATGCTAACACAGTAATAAATAAATTGTGTTGTTTTTTCAAAAAAGGGGTTAAAATCTTTGAATTATTAGATGATATTGTAAAAGAAGCTTTAGAATAAAGATGGGTCCGGAAACCCAAACCTTCCTAAACCCTTTAGGTTTAGGCTATAGTATTAGCTAGTTTTGAATTTGATATTTTTTTACCTAAATCCCAAATCCCAAGCCGAAACCGAAATCCCAAACTGATTTTGAAATCCTAAACCAGTACCGAAATCCCAAATCGATACCGAAACAATATTGTATATACAGTATATATATACTAACTTATTTAGTAAATATTTTAGTATTGTGAAAAAAATTTGGTATTAGTTAGGGATTCAGCATCAATTTGAAATTTCAACACTGTTTGGGATTTTGACACTGGTTTGGGATTTCGATACTAGTTTGGGATTTAGACATTGGTTTAGGTTTTAGAAAAACCATGTTGGTTTAGGGTTTGGGATTTTGAAACTAGTTCGGGATTTCAACACTGGTTTGGGATTTCGAAACTGGTTTAGGGTTTTGCAACTTATAGCCGAAACCCGAAACCTTTCGGCTCAATAAAATAGGTTTCGGGACCCAACTCTATTCTTGATAAATTACACGGATAATAAGATAATGAACAGATAAAGATAACAGATATGAATTTATCCAAATAATAATTATTTCGGTCGAATTAGTTTTCCACAATTGATTTATAGCGATAGGTGTCGGTTAAATATTTTATCTTAAAATAAGAGTTTAGTATGTATAAATATTCAAATTTCAATTATATAATACTAGTATATTAATTTGGTCCTTTCCATACATACGTTTAAACTTGGATATTTTAAAACAACTAACGAAGCAACAGCATCTTCTTCATTATTTTCAATAAAACTTATATCAACTCCACCTATGTATTCTAATTCATTGAATTCTACTTTTTGTTTATTATTTTTTTCGTTGAAAAATTCAAATCGTCAATTTCTATTAATTTTGATTTTAGTTCTAACTGTTCACTGTTTTTCGTAAATGTTTTTTTATAGATTTTTTTTTTTTTTTTTTTTTTAATGTTCACCTTGCCCATGCTTCTTTTTGTGCCTTAGAAGGATTTTTGTCAAAACTCATTTTTTATTATTATCAAAAAAGTTGAAATGATTTAATAGAATCAAAAAGCTAAAATGCTAAATATGAGTCAAAATTACATGTGATTTCCGAACACAATGCATTATTTGTATCACAACTAAATCATTTCTGCGGTATCGGACTTTTTTAACTCAATGTAATTTGCTAATGATCGAGTTTCTCGTAATAATTTCGCAGAAAATTCATTGTGCGAAATCAGATTTTAAATTTCAGCCAATCAAAGTAACTATATAAAAAAAAAATTGGTCTTTAGCTCCAAGTTTTTTCGATTTAAATGACAGACGATCAATTTTCTCAGCAATAAGGTCATCCGGTAAACCCATTGAGGGTGGCTTTTGAAGTCAAATGCGATGTTTTAAAATTTACACTTAAAAACGATCTAAAACATTTTTAATTTTCCTTAACTCAACTAGTGACAACTTGTTTTTGTGATAAATTCTATCTTGAAATTTAAAATTACAGAATTTTTCAATCCATGCTTGTCAACAATTTTGTAAATTTTTTTGCGTAATTTTCCGGTAATTTCGTTATTTTATTTGATTGGTTAAAATTCACATGTCTCATATTCATTCACTCATTGGCTGATCAATCTGTTGTTGTCACACAGAAAAATTTGCTTATAAAAACGTAGATCTTCGAAAAATGTAAACTCAACAATCTTTTTCTTGAGAATGGGACATAGTTTTATTAGGCCATTTTCAAAAACAAATTTTTGTCTTGAGAATAGGACATAGTCCTATTAGGCCATTTTCGAGAACAAATTTTTGTCTTGAGAATAGGACATAGGCCATTTTCAAGGAAAAGGTTTCGTTTTTTACCAGGTTTTTTGTAATAAAAACCGGCAACTTCTTGGTGGTTTATTGGCTTTATTAGTGTAAAGAACTACTACCTCAAATAAATGTAGCGTGAAAAGTTACTGAAGTTGCTTAGTTCGGTTGAGCGTCTACTAGGCTTGGTTATCGCGAAATATCGAGCAAGGAAAGCATAATTTACACTCAGTAACAATATTAAAAGGTATGCTTACTTCCTTCGAGGTTTATCTGTTTACCATTGATTCGCTATCAGATGCCGAAAAATGCGAATCACTTTATCGGTGGTTTTATATTTTGTACCATCGATATCGTATTTATTGTTTCGAGACATTTCTCTAAAGAAATGTCGGGAAAAAAATGTAAAAGAACTCGGCTCGGCTGAGTGGACACTTTAGGCCACGATGATGCAATATAAAACCTACCATGTATATGATGATAAAGTGTATTTAGTCTGAGATATAAGTTTTTTTTTCATTTATACAATTATCATATGCGCATTAATTTAACTAGTATCGTGGGTGGAAATATCACCAACCAACAACACAAAAGCAATATGTCCACAATCAGATTTCTCGTATAACGTTAACTAGGTGATTAAGGCTTTCCCGGCCGAAGCGTACGATTTGGTCGAACAAGATATGTCTCTTTTATTATCTTAATACTTTCTCTTTATTGTTTTCCTTTATTAACTCTTAAATTATTATCCCTTTAGTTCTGCAGGAGTTCTCCAACTAATGAAGACTCGGGTTTAATAACGCCACGTGCAATCACAGGTTTACTTGGTCGGAACTTTATGCATTTGGATTTATTCAAAACCCGAAGGTTTAAAATCCGCAGGTTGTTGTTACTATACATGTGTGCCTAAATTATTTTTGAAAAAAAGTATTTTTGGCAAACATTTCGGCATTGCTAAATTTTTATATGAAACCCTCCGAAATAACTATACTTATGATGTATTTTGATGAAAAGAGTTCAAAAAATTTCGACAATAATTTTGGCAAATATGAAAATTAATTTCGGCACTATATAAGATTTATTTCGGCTGCCTAAATGCCGTAATTACTTTTTTATTAGGATTGGCAATTTAGGCACACATGTATAGTTGCTACAAAGGTCAAATGGAAGGACTTCTATAACTTTCGTCCATTTACAAATTTTATATTATTTACATCTTTTATGTATATCATTTACAGATTTTATGAATTTCACGATATTTTCAATTTTTTACAATATTTACAATTTTGCCAATAATAATAATCGTTGACCCGTGTCAAACTCCATTTCGACTGTTTTCTTGACGAAAATAGAGCAAGTGAAATTATTGAACTTATTTAACAGTAATAATTCAAGTAGTTTTAAATAATTTTTTTCAAGTGTAGGTTATTTAATAGAGTTTAGCCCTAGATTTAATGTTATAACGATAATGCCCTGTATTTAATAATTATAATAAATAAAAAAGAATCATTATTATTATTATATAATTTTAATTATAACAATACTGTATCAAAGACTTTTTTTTTTATTAAATGAGATAGATAATTTTTTTATACAGTTATTATATTCATTTATATCTTTGTTTAATAACGAATAACGATAATTACCGGTAATGATTAATAATTAAAATATTAGCAATTAGTATTGGTATTATAAAACAACTTCGATTTCATTTTTCTATTAGCCAATCATATTTAATAAAAACAAAAAAGCCCGCTATGCTCGGGTATACCCGATCTGGATGAATTCGGGTCGAGGTTTCGGATCTATAGTAATTTTTGGGTCCGAATCTTTGTACTACGATAGAAAGTTTCAACTAGCTTTTGAAAAAAATTGAGCAAATCAAAATTCATCTTTACAAAGTAACACTTGAAGTGTTTGTTCTTTTGACTGCAAAAGGCAGCAAAGTTTGGTCACTAAAATACTTTAACTATTGCATCAGCTCAAGATAGTTCTTAAGGTCCTTTAGCACCACTTGATTCACGTTATAATTTAATAAGCGTTTTAATGGCAACCACAACCGATTTCGCAGATGTTGATGGCTGGATTCAACATCTTATGCAATGTAAGCAGCTGTTAGAAGCTGATGTAAAGAGATTGTGTGACAAGGTAACTGGATGGAGGGAAATAAATTAAGTTTTCCTGTTTAATTATCTATAGCCCCTTGAGCTTTTCATTTTATAATATTTGAAAGTTTGTTGGCCTTTACAAAATTCACGACCACAAAGCTTTTTTTCGAGTAAAAAAAGTGCGATATGCTTTGTTTTGTTTTAGATGCATTTAGAGACAGTCAATATGTAGTGTTATATATCTATTCTATTCAATTCTTAGCTTCACGTAATTTTCATTACTAAAGAAATTAAAAATATTTCACAACCTTTCATTAAAATTATCCAATAATTTTTTGTGTAGGCTCGTGAAATTCTTACAGAAGAGTCCAATGTGCAGCCCGTTAGATGCCCGGTGACAGTTTGTGGGGATATTCACGGTCAATTTCATGATCTAATGGAACTTTTTCGTATTGGCGGAAATTCGCCTGACACAAACTATCTATTCATGGGAGATTACGTTGACCGTGGATATTATTCCGTTGAAACTGTCACTCTTCTTGTCGCTCTCAAAGTCAGATATAAAGATCGAGTCACAATTCTTCGAGGCAACCACGAATCTAGACAAATCACTCAAGTATACGGGTTTTATGATGAATGCCTAAGAAAATATGGTAATGCGAATGTCTGGAAGTTTTTCACCGACTTGTTCGACTATTTACCTTTGACAGCATTAATTGATGATCAGGTTAGTTGATATCATAATTTTCCGTATAAACCCCCCAGGATCTCTTACTTTAAAACCAAACTAAAAATCGATTAGACCCCCATGTCTTGTAAACTACTATTAGGTGAGATCTTATATATGGAGAGATATAAAACTATAACAGCATATATCACGTTATAGACCCGGGTTTTGCACTTTTCACCTTTTGTAAATTCAGGTTACAGATCCGGGTCTATTATAAAGGGGGGTGGTTTATGCGGCAAATTACAGTAATCAGTATGTATATTTCATATTTTTATATGACTAATACATTTCATTGCTGTTTATATTAATAATAATAGATCTTTTGTCTTCACGGTGGCCTGTCTCCATCGATTGATACGTTAGACCATATTCGATCTTTGGATAGGATTCAAGAAGTTCCCCATGAAGGCCCTATGTGCGATTTGTTATGGTCTGACCCTGATGATCGATGCGGGTGGGGAATTTCACCTAGAGGTGCTGGATATACCTTTGGGCAAGATATATCAGAGGCATTTAATCATAATAATGGATTAACGTTGATTGCTAGAGCTCATCAATTGGTTATGGAGGTAAATTTTCGTTAATATTATACATTCACATAAATTCTACGATTCTTATTGTTAATGCATGTATGCATTAACTATACAGGGATATAATTGGTCGCAGGATAGAAATGTTGTTACAATTTTCAGTGCTCCAAATTATTGCTATCGTTGTGGTAATCAAGCCGCAATTATGGAAATTGATGAGCACTTAAAATATACATTGTAAGTGAATCATATTTGATATTTGTTTGAAGTTGTAAATATTATGATGTCTCTAACAAAAAAAAAAAAAAAAAAAAAAAAAAAACAGTTTGCAATTTGATCCCGCCCCAAGAAGAGGGGAACCTCATGTAACTCGCAGAACGCCAGATTATTTCTTGTAAACTTTTGCTAAAAGTATTATTTGCGTAATTCATATAAAATTATCTAATATCGTTGATCGATTTGTTTAACTCTTTGCACGATTATTGTATTGCATGTAAAGTGAAACGTTGAGGATGATGATTTAGTCGAACAATCATCAAGAAGTCTAGTATCGCAAGTCATGTTTGCGTTAAATTATATATATGCTAGGCTTATTGTGAAATTTTCTCGATAGTTGTTAAATTTACTTTTAATGAACAATTTACTTCCGTTTATGTAATTTTGTAAGTTTTGACATCGAATAATTTGATCTACTAATGTCGATATCAAAAATGGTCATTTATATACAGTAATAAATAGCATATAGAATTTATGTTTAATTAAGATTAATTCCTACGTAGTATATTAGTGCGATAATTTGTGAGTTTCAGCCACACTGGCTAGCCAATCATAGTTCTCAATTTGTTGGGATATACGTAATAGTTTAATAGTTGTGACACTTTAAATATATGCTCGATATCACCTATGTAAAAGACATTAATTGAAAATAGATCAAGTCTATGCCATTAGTCTGTTTATAAAGTCTCGTAACCGTACTCACTCTCATCAGTAAAAACTTTAATATGGAAGGCGATTACCCAACAATGACCTCGTACCATATGAGAGATGAGCTCGAATACCCTTCAAATGTGATACAGGAGATGCCGGCGCCAGCCGACGAAGAAGATTTAGAGGACGATCCGACACGATATGAAGAAAATTATGATCAAGGTATTTTATATGATCACTCATTACTAGATTTAGAAGGTTTTAGAATAATACATGCTAAAATAATTTTAGAGGATCTATGAAGATTGGCTTCAAAGAATTGTAAAGTAAAATAAATTCATTAAACTTAAATATTCTTTATATTAAAATGCATATGCAATCATATTTACTCTTATTTTCATGAAACATTTATAATAGTAAAGTACAATGAATTCATACCAAACTCAAAGTTTATAATTTATATTAATATTAGACGATCTACAAGATTCCGAAGCACAACCCGATATAACACAGGAAGATTGTTGGACAGTTATATCGTCGTTCTTTCACGAAAAAGGACTTGTTCGCCAACAACTCGATTCGTTTGACGAATTCGTGCAAAATACCATGCAAGAAATTGTTGACGAAAACAAAAATCTAGTGTTACAAACCTTTTCAGGAAACCAAACGGGCGATGGTGATAAAGCAGTATGTTTGGGCATTATCTTGCAAAGGAAAAAAAAATTAGGATTAAAACATAGAGGATTTATTGTTTTACATTTTGTTCACTTAGAGGAGATTTTATATTCGATTCGGTCAAGTTTACCTTTCGAAACCTACAATGACCGAAGCGGATGGTAGTGTCCAAGCGATGTTTCCGCAAGAAGCACGCCTAAGAAATCTGACGTATACATTATTATAATTATTATTATTATTATTATTATTATTGTCATTATAAATATTGTATTTATCAATTTAATGAATTTGTTTTAGTTATGCTGCCCCGCTTTATGTCAACATGAAAGAAGAAGTATTATACGCTGATCCCAGGGCTCCAGAAAACAGAGGGAAACCAACATTGGCTGAAATGTTTGATGAAAATAAACTAAAAGATGATCCAGAAGAAACGTCTTATGATAAAGTTTTTGTTGGACGGGTGCGGATCTAAATGTTCATATTTATGATTATTCATGACTATATAATTGTAATTGTATATACATTTTTATAACAGATTCCAGTCATGTTGAAATCAACATATTGTGTACTTCATGGTTTAGACGATAAAAGTCTTTATGCTCTGAACGAATGTCCGTATGATCAGGTTTTTTTCATTTTCATGACTTATCACTAAGCCAAAAATAATGTCATTATAGTAATCATTATAATCTACTGTGCGATATTGCATATAATTGTCAGGGTGGTTACTTTATTATCAATGGATCCGAAAAAGTATTAATAGCTCAAGAAAGAATGGCAACAAATACTGTATATGTGTTTGCAAAATCACCTCCCTCACCTTATTCGTACACTGCTGAAATAAGAAGTGCTATGGAAAAGGGATCAAAATTGGCTAGTTCATTGACCGTCAAGATGTTAGCAAAGACGGCTGAGAAAGGAGTATGTTTTTTTTTCTTGTTAATTTGTCGCAATTTACAATAATAAGCAACATTTAATTCCATTTATCTATTTAAGTCGACCGGACAATTCATCCAAGCAACTATGCCTTATATCAAGAAAGATGTACCAGTGGTAATCGCTTTCCGGGCCCTTGGTGCTGTTTCTGATCAAGATTTTCTACAATACGTTTGTTATGATCCTAACGATAACCAAATGATGGAAGCATTGAAACCATGTATTGAGGAAGCATTTGCGGTTCAGAGTACTGATGTAAGTCGTAATCCTATTGAAATATTGATGGATTTTTGAAAAGTATGTCCATATATCTAAAGTAGGAATTTTAGGTTGCTGCTGATTGGATTGGACGTAGAGGAACAACCACCGGGGCTACGAGAGATAAGCGTATCAAGTATATGTTTATTACATTTATTTGGCATAATTTTATTAATGATCGTTTATTAACATGAAATATTTGATACTTTAGATATGCTAAAGAAATTCTGCAAAAAGAATTGTTACCTCATGTTTCAACTGAATATGGGTGCGAAAAACGAAAAGCATTCTTTTTAGGATATATGGTTCACAGACTTTTATTAGCTGCTCTCGGGCGTCGAGAGTTGGATGATCGTGATCACTACGGGAAGAAAAGAATGGATCTTGCGGGTCCTTTATTGGCATCATTGTTTCGTATGTTATTCAAAAAACTTACAAAAGATGTTTCGATATATTTAAGAAAGGTTTGTATAACCATATACAATTGTATAGCTACTAAGTTTTCGTTTTAATTAATTAATTATAATCTAATGGTTTATAGTGCATCGACTCAAATAAAGAGTTTAATCTTCATTTGGCAATCAAATCACAAACGATCACTAATGGCCTTAAATATTCTCTTGCAACTGGTAATTGGGGTGATCAAAAGAAGGCTATGCAGGTAAAATATTCCGGCTGAGTTCTATTTTGATCGGGTAACGTTTCTTGGACAGCATTTACCTGTTAAAATTTTGTCCGGAATTTAGTCCCGAGCGGGTGTTTCTCAGGTATTAAATCGGTACACTTTCGCATCAACACTATCCCATTTGAGAAGATGTAATACTCCAATGGGAAGAGATGGAAAGATTGCCAAACCTCGTCAGTTGCACAATACACATTGGGGTATGGTGTGCCCTGCCGAAACTCCAGAAGGTCAGGCTTGCGGTTTAGTTAAGAACCTTTCTCTGATGTCATGTATTTCGGTTGGAAGTTCTTCAAAACCTATAGTAGACTTTTTGGAGGAATATGGCATGATAAATTTGAACCAACAATTTGATCCGGCAAATATTAGAGACAATACAAAGGTCTTTATAAATGGTAAATGGGCGGGTATTTCTACTGCGCCTGAACAATTAGTTAATACGCTTAGGGGCTTGAGACGAAGTGTTGACGTTAGCCCAGAAGTTAGTGTTGTTAGGGACATTCGTGAAAAAGAATTAAGAATTTATACTGATGCTGGAAGAGTATGTCGACCTTTGTTCATTGTAGAAGATCAATGCTTAGTAATAAAGAAAGAACTTATACATAATTTGGATGTTAATAAGCTTGTAAGTAACATTATTTTTATCTATATCTGAGATATGGTGTAATATCGCAATTTATGGGTCATTGTACAATTTACTTTTTCATGTATATAAGCTTTATAGTAACTTTGATTATTTTATATTTGTTAACCAGAAAAATCGACCGGGTGGGCAAACGGACGCATCATACGATGATGAATATCTAGACGATGACGATGAATATGCAGATAATGATGTCAATGAAGAAGTGCAAGATGAAGCTTCTGAAGAACAAGGCACAAAAAGACGACGAAATAGACAGGTTTATGGATGGCAAGATTTAATTTCAAATGGTGCTATTGAATATATAGATGCAGAGGAAGAAGAAACAGTTATTATCTGTATGACTCCCGAAGATTTAGCAGCGTCAAGACACTTTTATCAAACTGGTATTCCACCATCATCCAAAGCACATGAAAAAGACGTAGCGGCTCGTGTTAAAAGTGAAACAAATTTATCAATACATACTTGGACACATTGTGAAATTCATCCTAGTATGATACTAGGAATTTGTGCTAGTATTATTCCTTTCCCTGATCATAATCAGGTAGGTGAAACCAAATCCAGTTCTCTTAAATAATAATTATTTTAGTATTTTAATTACTGTTCTCATTTTCTTAATCTTTTCAAGTCGCCTCGTAATACTTATCAGTCTGCTATGGGTAAACAAGCAATGGGTATTTACGTAACAAATTACCAATTACGAATGGACACTTTGGCAAATATTTTATATTATCCACAAAAACCTTTAGTAACAACACGAGCTATGGAATTTTTAAGATTCCGTGAGCTACCAGCAGGACAAAATGCTATTGTAGCAATTCTATGTTACAGTGGTTATAATCAAGAAGATTCAGTTATTATGAATCAAAGTAGTATTGATAGAGGATTATTTAGAAGTATCTTTTATAGAAGTTATATGGATCAAGAAAAAAAAGTAGTAGGTATAAGTTTTAATTTAGATTTAATAATTTATTTTGAATTCTATGATTAATTATTGTTTCATGAATATTGTATAGGGTATGCTATCTATTGAAGAATTTGATAAACCGACAAGGGAAACCACCCTACGTCTCAAACATGGTACATATGAAAAACTGGAGGACGATGGTTTAATTGCACCCGGTACAAGGGTATCCGGTGATGATATAATTATTGGGAAAGTTACGCCCATTCCAGAACATACAATTGAACTTGGTCAACGGTTAACTTCACACACACATAGAGATGCTTCCACACCAATGAGAAGTACAGAAAATGGTATCGTCGATCAAGTGATGGTGACAACAAATGCTGAAGGAATGAAATTCGTTAAAGTAAGAGTTCGAAGTACAAGAATTCCTCAGATGGGTGGTGAGTTCGTATAAGACTTGTTAGATTTATTCTTCATGCGGTATTACTGGTATTTATTCACAAACTTGTACTATAGATAAATTCGCTAGCCGACATGGGCAGAAAGGCACTATTGGAATTACTTATCGGCAAGAAGATATGCCCTTTACTTCTGAAGGGATTACGCCAGATCTTATTATAAATCCTCATGCCATACCAAGTCGTATGACAATTGGTCATTTGGTTGAATGTCTGTTAGGAAAGGTAAAAATTTACACCAATAAGTATATTTGGTTCATATTGTTTCATACTTAATTATACTCAAGCAAATCGAATGATATTTAGGTTTCGACACTCACTGGACAAGAAGGTGATGCTACGCCGTTCACTGATGTAACTGTTGAAGCTATTTCACAAAGCTTGCGACAACAAGGTTATCATTCTCGAGGGTTCGAAGTAATGTATAATGGTCATACAGGACGAAAATTAGCTGCACAAGTGTTTTTAGGACCGACATATTATCAACGGCTGAAACATATGGTAGATGATAAGATCCAGTAAATATATTTCTCTATTAGTGTGCACCCCTTCTTTGAACAATCCCATTACTTATTATTTGTTGCTTATTAGTTCTCGCGCTAGAGGTCCTGTGCAAATTCTCACACGTCAACCAGTTGAGGGTCGTAGTCGTGATGGTGGGTTGCGTTTCGGTGAAATGGAACGTGATTGTATGATTTCTCATGGCGTAGCCATGTTTTTGAAGGTATCATTATATGTTCTACATATTACTTTTTTTTTTTTTTGTTTATTAAAGTTTATCGATAACTATTACTTTTTATAGGAACGATTATTCGATGCTTCTGATGCATATCGCATTCATGTTTGCGATATATGTGGACTGATGGCCATAGCAAATCTCAAGAAGAATACTTTCGAGTGTAAAGCTTGTAAAAATACTACACAGGTTCGTTTATTGGTTTTATCATTATTTATTTTTATAATAATGCTCTAACAATTTGTTGATTTTGTTATACTTTTAGATATCACAAATACATATTCCATATGCCTGTAAATTACTGTTCCAGGAGTTAATGGCTATGAATATTTCACCACGATTATTTGCTTAATTAGCATTAGGGTTGCGACCCAACCTACATTACTACTAAGTTTTAGTTTTGGAATCGGGATTTCTATTTCATTTTGGATAATAACAAAAAAAAAATAAAATATATACCAACTTTTGGTTAAATAGTGTCAAACTCAAGAACTAATCAAATTTGTTAAATCATTGCTATTAATTGTTAAAACATGAACCTAAGAGCAGTGTTTAAAATTCAAATTCAAAATTATGTTCTCAAGTGAGCTAAATTTATAGTATTAATGTTCTCAAAAATTTTTTAATGTTCTCATTATATAAATATTATTTTTTAAAGAAATTTATATTTTTATCAAGTAAACCTATCTGGAGTTTTTATGTAAAGTTGTGCATAGAAACTTTCTGATTCTAATAGTACTTGAAATGTTAAAATTGGTTTAGTAAATCATAAGTTATATCTATTTTAGTTTTTGTAACTAAGTTTTTTTTTTTACAAATTTGCAAAGAGGAAATTTATAGTTACAAAAATTAAAATAGATATAACTCATGATTTACTGAACCAATCTTAACATTTCAAGTACTAATAGAATTAGAAAGTTCCTATACATAACTTTATTTAAAAGCCTAAGTAAGAATAATATAGTAGTAAAAAAAGTTATAATTCTTTAATTGTTTAATAATAATAATAGTTTGAGAACATTTTATCTATAAAAATGTTTTCAAATAAGAAAATATTAATTTAAATATTGATGTTCTTAAAATAATTTTAGTGTTTACTGAGAACACTAAAACATCGAATTTTAAATACTACCTAAGAGTGATTTAGAACTATGCAGTTTATACTAAATAAAAGTAATATGTTAGATATAATAATTATAATAAGTATAAATGTTTAATAATTTTTAATAACTAGCACTGATATATGTTACTTAATATTTTTAGAGATGAGTAATAATATTTTAAGATATTTATGTTTTGTCACTAGACTATTCAGTTCACTTCTAGATAATTGAGACTAGTAAATATATGTAGCAGCTTATACTAAAAATAGCAGATAGCTTATGCTGAGATTTGAGACTTTTATTAAAATTTTCTAATTTATATCACAGAAGATTATTTTTTATATCTCAAAATTTTACAATGAAATAACTTTTAGAGCTCTAAGTAAAAAAAAATTTCTTACCTTAATACGAGCTCTGAGTCAAATTCTAAAGTTAAAGACAAAATTTTAAATATTGTATTTATTTGCTTAAAAAATTGTTTATATATACTATTCATATAAGGAAGTGATTGAATAGATTCTTTTAGAAATTTTGATAAGAGAGAAGTTGGTTCTGTATTTTTAGCATTTTGGTTAGATGATATATGAAAAACTGATAATAATAGAAGATAATTGTATAATAGTTAATTCTTCATTTAAACTTGCATTATCGTCAATAAGTGTTTTTTGTTTATTCAAAACTCTCAAAAGTTGTTTCTTTTTATTTTTATTTTTTTATCTATTTTCAAGAGATCTTGAAGTAGAAGAATACATAAACCTGAAATTGTTGCACTTAAGACCTTGTCTGGTTCTAACGAAAACTCTTTCAATTTTTTTAAAAGAAGTTAGTTGAAGGTTCTGCAAGTGCTAAACAGATGCTAGTGCTTGTGTTCAGATGCATTGTTAATATGGTATTAAGGAAATAAGCAAAACTGAAAAACCAATTATATAATTAAAAAAATTTTTTTTTAAAAAAAAAAAATCTCTCTATTACTATTGCTATTAATTATTTTAATCAATTACAATTTCTAACTATAGGTCTGGTGATCTTAGTGTAGTAGTTAGGTTGCCAGACTATCATGCAAGAGGTCTGAGGTTCAAATCTCACTGTCGACAAATTTGAATAATTACTCAAACTTTTGTACCCAACTTACAGTAAACCCTGTCCATTTCTGAGGTTGTAACCCTGTAAATCACGTTGCATCAATATTATTTGAATATTGGAAGTATGATGAGGCATTTGGAAAGCCATA